CAAGGTAAGAGAAAAGGGGTCAATGGCGCTTAACAATAAAATATCAAGGTATCAGAGAGTCTAAAGCCTAGAGAGAATCTGTGATGTGCGAGAGAAGGAGGAAGGTAGGTCCTGCAGGGAGAGGACAGTTAGACCCAGTTAGAGCCCCGATGCTCGCTCCTGCTACCAGAGCCAGCTGAGATGTGACCCCCAAGCACCAGGGACAGCTTGATTCTATAACACACGTCAGCGAAGTGTGACCTCTGGTTACACTCTGTTTTCAGGAACAGGATGGAAACTATATTTCTTTCCAAATTTTAAACAGATTCACTTGCTCAAATATCCTAAAATTGTCCTTTGGAGTTTTAATAAATTATTATTTTATAATTCATCATCAGGATTGCATACATGCACAAGCTTTTAATGGTTACTTACTAGACATATTAATCAATGGTTCATTGGACTTCTAATCAAAATTTTCTCTACTCTGGTATTATGAAATTTACAGAGACAAAAAAAAATTTCCTAGCTCCATTAATCTGGATTGGGGCTGTTTTCTTTTTTATGTCCTCTTGTAACAATTCCTATGTATACTCATTCTCTAGTTTATGTCATCCATATTCCATCTATTCTATATTCTCCCATACACTCAACAATTTACCCACACACACACACATATACCATTTGGAACTGTAGCCATATATTCAACTGCCTAATTGCTATCTCTCTCCAATTAGACACCTAGAAGATATTTCAGATGTAAAAGTTTCAAAACAAAACCCTGGATTTCCCTCCTAAAATCTGCTCTTCCTTCTGTTATTCCAATTTTACAAATTAATTCATTTGACAAACATTACTGAACATATCTCATATGCCAGATTACTGCTTAAGATACATCAGCAAATACTAAGCGTTGGGGACATAGATAAAAAGCAATACATTAAACTAAGGAAATTACCTACCAGGTTAGAAGGTAATATAAGTGCTTCATAAAAAAGGAAAAAGCAAGTTGGATTCCAAGGACAGTGGAGAGGAGAGCTGGCATCACTAAATAAGATAGTCTAGAGATAAAACTAAGAAGGTAGTATTTGATTAAAGACTTGGAATTGGTCAAGGTGTTCAGCCTACTGGTAGCTAAAGAAACATTTGTGGGCAGAAGAAACAATGCAATCAGTGGAAGACAGGAGTATGTCTGACATGCTCAAGGAATAGCCAGGGAATCAGGTAGGTAGATGGAGGGAAGAAGAGTAGAGCTAAGATCAGAGAGGGAGTAGAAGCCAAAACTCTGAAGACCACTGCAAGAACTTTTTGGGGGCAGGAAATGGAGAACCACTCCAGAATGATCCTATTCATACCTTCAGTAGCCATTGAGCTCTGTCCAGGATAAGTTTTTTAAAATTTAATTTTATTGTAAAGGTGATGTACAAAGGTGGTTACAGTTCCATAAGTAAGGTAATGAGTACACGCCAGTGACAGTATTGGTTAGTAGGTAATCTCTGTTATTAGAGCAAGAAACTTCAATGATGATGCATGCCAGGATAATAGTAGAAGTATGGGTATGTTTTCAAAGAGGAGTTTATAACATGTTCGGATAGGCTGGATATACAGTAAAAATTAGATAGGAAATTGAATTGAAAGAAAGAATGGAAAGCTGATGTTGTCAAGATTTAAGGTAACTGGAATACTAAAGTTGACTTCTACTAATTTGTGAAGATTGCTGGTAGAGCAGGTACATATTAAAAAAAAAATCAAGAGTTCATTTTCAAGTGTATGGCACAGAGATGAGAGACTGAATAGGACATTAGAAATACGAGCCCGATCTCCGAAGAGAGGCCCTCAGTGGGAGATTCCTATTTCCTGATCAGTAGAATAAAGATGACATTTAATCAAGGCAGTGAGGTTAGACAGAGGACCAAAGTAGACTAACTACTGAATAGCTAGGAAATTACAGTGAAAAGTTCAGGAGATGGTGAGAAACGGTGGATGGAGACTGAGCAAAACTGCCAGTGCAGTAAGAGCAACAATGGGAATGCGCTGGCTAGGAGACAAGCAACACCCCTTTATACAGTAGGGTAGAAAGACACTGGACCAACATTGCAGATTGTGAGGATTGAGAATTGACTTCTGGGCTGAGCAATGTGGGCTTATTGGTGTCTAGGGCAACAAAAGTTCTCTTGGTATAATGGGGGAAAACCAGATTTGAATTGTTTTAGGGAAGAGTAAGAAAAGAGAAATTTAGAGATAAGTCATTTTAGGAAAAATAATATACAGAATCACCCCAGCTCTCATACTTCCTTCAGCTTTCTTTCTGCTTCTTTCCTTTGAGGAATGAGCCTCAAATTGCAAAAGAAAACAACGTTATTAGTCCAGTTCCTGCCAAGGTAGAGAGAACCAAGGTCATCAACAAACAAAACCTGTGAAGCTCAAACACACTTAGCCCAAAGGACTTACTATCCCACTGGATGTTTTGAAAGAACAATTCTGAAGGGACATCCAGTTTTGTGAAGAGAATAACAGTAGTTTTAACTAATAATGTTTAGGGTGGACTTGGAGCTGGTTTATATGAATTCATCTATAACAATGGCTCATTTTGGCAGGCAGGTTTTCTGATTGATTGATGCCACTACTCAACCAACAAGTACATATTCTGTATATCACCCCTGGTTAGGTCATGGTTTCTATATTGTTATATAAAAGGAGTCTTCAAAAAAGATTTATGTATCTAGATAGACTTGTACATACAAGTAGACACTTACATTGTTCCAGAATATATGCTGGATGTTTTAGTCATGAGTAACAGAATAGTAACAACTATGTAACCACAAACAGAGTTTCAGTCCCACAATGGTTCTTTCTTTCCTTTCTGAGCAGAGATGAATAAGAAAAACTATTTCCCGGACGTTTTGTCTGTTATTCAAGGCTTGCTCCCTCTTCTTGGCCTTACCTGCCTTTGTGTTTTGTGGTCCAGCTGTACTGTTTTTCTTAATAGCTCCTCAGTTAGATGTCTGAAAGATTATGTACGCAAGCAGTACACAAAACCTCACGCTTATCACTGACCTTGCTCATTTCTTCTGGGATATCATTTTAGTCAGTCCTGGTGGCTGTAATGAAATAACCGTAGACTGAGTCTACATTGTTCTCTCAGCTCTGGAGGCTGAGAAATCCAAGGTCAAAAGTCATCCACAGAGATGAAGTTGGGTGAAGGCCCTCCTCCTGGTTTGTAAATCACTGCTTTCCCTCTGTTCTCCAATGCTAGAGAGAGAGCCTCTATTGGTTAGTACAAGGACATTAAACCCATTCATGAAGACTCTCTATCTTGATTACCTCCTAGAACCCCTGCTTTCAAATTCTATAACATTGTGGATTAGGGCTTCAACAGACAAAGTTTGGCAGTGGGGTGGGGGAGGGGGGAGCAGCTATACCATGACAGAACTGGTAGCAATGAAATACAAAATATTTGTCCAAAGTAGTTGAGAAGTAGATCATGTCATTCTCTGGATTGCCCACTGTCCCATCCATTCCGTGTTTGTGGGCCTCAAGTTGGGTTCATGAAGAAGTAGATTTCGTGCTCTCGGATTTTTGCCAAGGCCTCACAAGACACAAGCTCAGAGAGAGGAAATGTGGTGTTTAAGAAACTGACTTGCAAATGCAAACATGAGCAATGGAAAGCAAAATAACAAATGATCCTTCACAGCTGCATTTCTTCAATGTTTAAGCTAGTCATAAACATCCACTGCTATTTTGAGAACACGATCAGTACAAACCTCAAGGATTAGTTACCCCCAAATTACTTAGGGAGAGTTTCACTTGTACAACTCCATAATCGGTTCGCTAATCTGTTTGGGGAAAGAAAGTGAACTTCCCTGTGATGGGTGGGAACCAATAATTGGAGGTTTCCAGGGAAGGTTCTGTAAAGCCCCTAGATATGAGGAATTTGGGCTGTGGTTTCCCAAATCTGTTAGATGTGCAAGATGTTGGTGGAAGTATTTATTTATTTGTGTATTTATTATTTTTAATTCAAAATTCTAAAAGCTCATGATCTTTCCAAAGATTGGGGAAAAAATAGCCTGAAGTAGTTGTAAGTGGGACAATATGAAATCACATAGTATGGGATGCGTGGTAGATAAACCTGAAGGACACAGATTTAACCAAGAGATCAAGGTCAAAATCATCCATCATCTGTGATGGTTTGTGACTCCGCGGACCTCTCTGATCCCCTCCCTCCAAGATGAGAGGAGAGGAGCATTATGTTTGTGGCTCCCTGCCCTCTCCATTTGTGTTAATATGAGAAAAATATCAGACAAACCAAGTGATGTCTATCCATGGGGTTTTACTAGTGTCCTGGGCCAGAATTCTTCAAACCTCTCAAAGCCTCTAAGAGCAGACAAGAAGAAGCTGTCACAGATTTAAGGAGATAAGAAGATGCCACACGAATAGGCCGACCTCAGCAGGAGGGAGGGAGGGGGGTGAAAATCATACCAGCCGTAAGATTAGTGAAATGTGCATAAAGTCTGGAGCTTCCTTAGTAGTAACAGCCCAACGCTAATTCGCAGTTTCTACAAATACACCATGGTTATGTAAAGTGGGGACAGAAGGAGGATGGGCTGGGCGTGCTCTGAATTCTCCCTACTATTTTTTGCAACACCCCCCCCCCCCCCCGCCCAGCCCCGTCTCGCAAATCATCCCAAAATAAAGTTTTACTAAAAACGTCAAAAGAGGAATCTTTAACTCCCGTTTCCTGCGTGGAGAGCAGGAAATGTTTCCATTTTCTGTGCCTCACTACTTTAACCCTGTTAGACTAAAATAAACCTTTGCTAGAACTTAAAAGAAAAAAAATCAAAAGGAAAACAGAAGTCTCTGAACTTAAAGAGTGGCAAATAAAACTTTCTCGAAGTGCAAGAGTAGCAGGCTTGGCTAGAATCCCGGCTCCTCCCGGCCCCCGAGCCGCCCGGCGCCCGCTGGACTCTGCCCTGTGGTCCGGCCCGGTGGGGCGGAGCCCAATCTGCAGACGGTGGCTGAACCCCGCACCACCCCGGAGCCAAGCCTGGCCACTCGGGTGGCCGGAGCACGCAGGGCAAAGCCTAGGCCTGGACCCCCGCGGTGAGCGCCCTGCCAGGTAAGGCGATCCCCCGGAGACCTGTGCGCCAGCCGGGTGGACCGGTGTCCAGGTCGCCTGGCGTGGGGAATCCCCAGGGGAACGCCACTCACCAGGCCATTTCCTGGAAAGGGATCTTATGAAAGCCCGTATTCCTTCCCTGATGACCTCTGATTCCCTGGGCCAGAAGTTCCCCTCCCCCCGCCCCTCCAACTTTGGGAAGAGTCAGGAGAGCTGGTCCCCACTCTCCATCCCCTCCAGGAACCAAGTTCTCCTTAACACCTGACTCCTGATGACTTATTTAGGGTTTTGTAATACAATCCCTTTGTCTAAGGTTGGGGAGGAGGGGTGGGCAGGATCTCAGCCTGCTCCTTTTAACAGCCCTAGAGAGAAACCCCTGGGGGAGGGGGCGTGGGGGGTGTGATGATGCCACTGTTAACTCCAGAGGGGCATTCACTGCGCCTGGAATTTTCTAGCCTCACAGTTCAGTGGAGGTGCGACGCTGCCCTTCCTTGTGCCCGCTGACTCTGGTAGGCGCATCGCAAATTCAGCCCACCTGAGCGCTTGCCGGCTGTTTCTGTTGAGTTGGGCAGAGCCCGAGGCAGCTTTGCAAAAGGAACAACTGTTACCTTAGCAAGGACGCAAGCGTAGATTTTAGACTGGCAGTGACTTTTCAATCTCCCCCATCCCCACCAAGGACAAGAAGAAATAAACGCTCGAACACAAACACTAGAACATGCAAGCATCCCCGGAGCTCTGTCTGTTGTACCATGCTCTCAGAGCTCTTCCATTTTGAGGACTCAAAACTTTCCTTTCCCAGTATAATGTAAGGACTAGGTGAAGAAAAGTTAAACAGGGAAAGCCTGCATTTGCAACAGGAAAAGGATGATCCTTCTGATTTTACCTCATGCTATTAAATATTCAGCTGTATGGAAGACTGGTTTTCCAGAAACTTGAGCTGGGCTGCTGTGTCAGGTGCCTGGGTGCACACACAATTGGTGCTGTTGTTAAGGAGGCTGGCTGCCTTCCACCCCCCCCCCCCCACCTCGGCCCTCCCCTCCTGGATTGACAGGCCCCCAAAGCACCAGGAATTTCTGCTTCTTGTGGCTTCTCCACTACTTACTGAAGGAGTGAGGACAGGTAGGTTATTCTTGCTGCGGACAACTTCACAAGACATTTTTACTTTCTGTAAGAATTACGAAATAACTTGATCTCCTTTCCTCACCAAAAAGGGACTTATTTTAATTACAAAATTATTTTGTAATTAACACAGACCTTATTTTGTTAATTACTAATAGGCGTGTTGTTTGTTGGTGAATTACTAAGACTATACTCAAGAATGGACTTGAGTCACAATCCAGATATCAGCCAACGCTTTAAAAATGTAAGCAAGCCAGAGTTGACCTAGAAAGAAAAGGACTGAAGATTTCGCAGAGAATAAGGAAAGCCTTTGAAAATCGTGTTTCAGATCCTTTAAACTGTGATATTTCCATTAACATTATATCTCTATTGAACGACTGAAGAAATTTGCAATGGAAAATTTTTACTCTGAATTTGATAACATGTTTAAATAAATTTATTTTAAAAATTAATCCCAAACACAGACATCTTCACAAGTGAAGCAAACAAATGTATTAGAGGTGATTGTAACCGGAAGTTCTAGGCCACAGGCCTACGTCTATGATCAGGTCTGGACTGGTCATTTCAATATGTCAGATAGAGACTAGTGATGACTAATGTCAGAGAAAGGGGATTTATTACGCTGCTGGTGCATGTGTTGGGAAGTGGGAAAGTAATAATTTCAGCTTATCTTTGGTATACAGAGATCATGTTTATAGAGGAAGAATTGGAGCAGGAAAGTGAAGCATATGGCCCCAGGAGTAGTATAGTTTGCTTATTTGATCTTAATTTCAGCTCTTTGAGGGGGTCTGGGGAAATTGCTTTTGAGGGGAGCAATATGGTCACACAAAAAGAAAGTCATTGTTGTCCATGTGGCAGCTTCAACTCTGTTGACAAGAGAGTGTACTAGTCCTGTCCTTTCTAGAATTCAAGAACTTCTGGGTAACTATAGGTCAGAATAGTCAGAGCAAAGATGGATACAAAATGAAGGAATGTAGGCTTTTATCCTGCTTTTTAGTTACTATTTTAGACCCAATTTAGTGCTTTTTCAGCAAAAGCCATTTGTAATTTTTCTTGTAGTATGTGCATGCATCTATAATTACAGGAAACATGTGTGGATTTGTGGGTTTATTTGTGGGTTTATTCATTGGGCCAGAAGTTGTGGAATGTCTGTTGTACAGAGCCCTGTATTCTATGCTGGAGACACACTGATATCTTGTCACACAGCACTAGCGTCTTCCAAGACATTTCAGTGCTACAGATTAGAACTATATTAGTGACCATCTCCTCAATTATGGCTGACACCACTAACTAGACTGGTTTCAAGCCACATATTCCCTTACATAGATTTATTTTTTATGTTTTATTTTATTGTAAAGGCAACATACAGAGGAGTTGCAGTTACATAAGTAAGGTAATGATTCCATTTCTCTTTGAACAGTGTCACCCCCTCATTTTTCCCATACCCCACCCCTGATATCCTCCACCCCAAATTGTAAAGTTCATTTCCAATATAGTATCTAGTGAGTATTACTGTTGCATTGATTCATTCTTTGTCCCACTTTTTCTGTGATTCCCCAACCCTTTCCCTATTCAGATAAACTTACATACAAGACAAACGATACAGAAATGCAAGAAAAGCAAAACAGTGACAATAGGCAATAAACTAAAGGTGGCAGGGAGAGAAAGAAAAAAGAAATAAAAAAGAAAAAAACAAAAAAGAAATAACTGCAAACAGCACACTAAAAAAAAATCTTGTTTCCATTTCTTGGAGTTCATTTTGATAAGCATCATTTTATATACCCATATGCACATAGCTTTTGAGTTATTGTGATCCTCTGCTAAGAATAACCTATATTCTAGTTATTACAAATGAGGGAAACCATGTAGCCTATATTTCTTTGAGACTGGCTTGCTTCTCTTAATATGATGTTTTCTAAGTCTTTCCATTTCCTTACAAATAAGGAAATGCCATTCTTTCGGATGGAATAGTATTCCATTGTGTATTTGTTTATTTATATATATATTCATTCCAGTGTGTATGTACATATATACATATTTTTTTTCTGAGGGCCATCTGGTTGATTCCATATCTTAGCTATGGTAAATAACGTTGCAATGAACATCGCCGTGTTGTAGCTTTAGTGTGGCCTTGTTTGTGGTCTTTTGAGTAAATGCCTAGGAATGGGATTGCTGGGTCATAGGGGAGCTCTATATTTAGTCTTTCATAGCACCTCCATACTGCTATCCAGGTGATTGAACAAGTTTACATTCCCACCAACAACCTTTACATGATTTAGTCATTTTGTTGTTGTTGTTGTTGTTGTTGTTGGTCATGGCACCTGAACTCTGGGCCTGAGTGCTGTCCCTCAGCTCTTCAGCTCAAGGCTAGCACTCTACCACTTGAGACACAGCACCACTTCCAGCTTTTTTTTTCTGCTTATGTGGTGCTGAGGAATCAAACCCAGGGCTTCATGCATGCAAGCGCTTTACCACTGAGCCTCCTTCCCAACCCTAAGTAGTCAAATTTTAAAATTGTGAAACCACTCTTATGTTGTTCTAATTGGTAGTTTCATTTTTTTGTGTGGATCGTGTGAATAATTTAGAAATCATATTTAATGCTTAATATTATTAAATATTGAAATATTAAACTTCAAATAGCTATTACTTGTACACCAAATAAATGAAAATGGGATTTGTAGTTGTGAACATAGGTAATTTTGGGGAGAAGGGAAAAGGATGGACAAAAGTCTTAAATCTGTCAAAAATTCTACCTATGAAATTATTTTTTCCTTTAGTTAGAAAAAATATGCCAACAATTATATTTACTCCAGAGAAAGATTATCCAAATATATTTACTTTGTATTCTGTACTTTTTTCCTTTAAAAATCCCCCACCTTGCTGGAGGTATAATTTAGCCACCAATTCCACCTTCAGACCCAAAACACTACGAACCTACTTTCTGTCTCTTTATATTTGCTTTCCTGTGCATACAAGTGAAATCAAACAACATTTAGTCTTTAGCACCTGACTTCTATCACATACAATAAAGTTTTTGAGGCTGATTTAGATGGTAGCATCTCTCCCTTTTGTCCTTTTTATTGTTAACCAGTATTCATTCCATGATAGCTATACCACACTATGTTCTATACTTGGTGGGCATTTCTGTGATTGCATTCAAATGGACAGCATTTTGTTCTGGATCCACAATACCAAAATTTGAAATGACTGATATGAATCAACTTCTTATTCAATTTTTTGATTCTCCTTGATGGCAGTTTTAAACTACTGGATTTCATAGTTTGTGCTCATAAATGCTGTTTGAACTATCAACTTTTGCCCAAAGTGCCTGCATATTTTTTTTAATTGTGAAAATACTGTACCGAGGGGTTACAATTACATGGGCAAGATAATGAGTACATTTCTTATCAAACATTGTAGCCTCCTCCTTTGTTTCCCCTTCCCATCCCTTCCCATCCTATCCCCCACCCCCCACCCAATCCTCCCCGCTCCCCCCTCCCTCGCACCAAAGTTGTAAAGTTCGTTTTCAACATAACGACTTGGACATCTCATTGTTGCAATGGGTCCACCTGTATCCCTATTTAAACGATTTGTTTTTCCCCTTCCCCTCCACAAATTATAACAACATCAAATACAGTGAAAGCAGGGGTTATACTGTGGGGGAGGGACATACATAGCAACAAAGAAATAATCTTATAAATGTGTTAGAAACAATCACATGAAAGAAAAAACATTTGAATACATATCTTAGGGTTCATTTCCCTAGTATCACTTTATCTGACCTTTTCTGCTTGACTCAGACATATACTAGATATTGCAAATAAGGGAGTGCCTGCATACTTTGTATTCTCCTCAACAATAGACATGAGTTCCAGCTGCTC